AAATACTCTCTCTCTATCTCTCTCTCTCTCTCTCTCTCTCTCTCTCTCTCTCTATATATATATATATATATATATTCTTTCTCAGAAAAGCAGTGACAACAACAATACCAACCAAAAGATTTACCTAAATCGACATTAATTAAACCACATTTTGATTTAATTAATAAATCAATTAGCTTCGTAATTCAATTGTAATTAAACCGACTCCACTCCAATTTCCAACACCAACTCAAATCTTCCATTATTTTCTGTAACATGGACGTTATACTATCATCACCCGTTGTGACACCCTAGTTTGCAGAGAGGTTTAAATGGATTGATTTGGCCACTTATATCAACAAAGTGAACTTATCTAACAAGTCTTAAAGGCCTCCCGTCATACCTGTACGTAGCTAACCTACCATCAGATATAGGTGGAACCACGGATTGAGAAAGGCGTAGGGCCCATTTAGAGGGGTAGGCTAATGGATGCAGAGTGAACATGGGGCCCACTACGAGAGGTGACGGTCGGGGCTTTACACCTCTTATAATAGGTCCGGCGCTTTTGTATAGCGGTTTTTGGCATAGCTATCACATCTTCATCATAACGATTTTAATCTATTAAATATAATATTAAATAATAATATTCCAAAATCTGGTTGTAAATTCTGAATATTTAATTTTTAATTTTAGATTCCAATATATTTAGTTTTAATTTGTAAGAATAAAAAAATATATAATAAAAATAGTTTACAAAGAATAAAAATAATCATTAATATTAATAATAAAAATTTAGAAAGGAAATGTTTTGTCTTAGTATATTACTCAAAATATAAAATTCTACAAATTTTACAAACGTTTTCTATCAATCTGAAATATAAGAATGCACATCACATATAAAGCTAATAAATGTCTCCTTCTTTTTCTTTACCTCAAAAAAAAAACCCAAAAGAGAGAGAAAACAAGATTTCAATGTATATATTTTATTATAGAGAAGTCGAGAAAAAGTATTGTGAAATATGTATAAAAAACACAAACTAATAAACAAAACCGTACAAAAAAGAAGATTTAGATAATAAAACCCTAAGACTAAAAGGAAAACAGAACTCGAACAATCAAGATATATATATACTGCTCAAAATAGTCCTGGGCGTTCGGGTTATTCGGGTCGGGTTATTCGGTTTAGAGGAAATTCAGTTTTCAAAATATCTCACCGAATAGACCCGAATTAAAATTCGGTTCGGGTCGGTTTGGTTGGCTGTTTGTTCGAATCGGTTATTAGCTAAATTTTAAGCTCCGAATTTGAACCGATTATTTTTTGATTCGGTTTTTTTTGGTTTACATTTTAGAATAAGGAATATTAACAAGGTAAATCTCGATAACAACAGCGCAATTAACATAATTAAGAGGCTATAATAAAACATCAAGCCCAATTAACAAAATTAAGAGGCTATAATAAAACATCAAGCCCACATCAAATTATAGTAACCAAGCCCAAATCCACCTAGATCTAGGTTTTCAACCGAACAGCAATTGTGACGACGAACCGACGCTCCGCTGCTTGAACTGCCGTACTCCAAGTTCCTCACCGTCTTTCTCATTGTTGTCGACTTGTTATGAGAATCCATCTACAAAACTCAAAAAAGTAAGCATTAGATTTAGATAAACACTTTCAGAAACACAGATGCAGAAATAAACATAACAAACTAATTAATATACCTGGGAAAATCCAGAAAAATGAAGAAAAGAGATCAAAAGAGTAGAAAAATCAGAGTTTGTACTTTGTAGAGACAGAGAAAAATTATAGACGTCACCAAGGTATTAAAGTATTAAAGGAACTAGGGACTAAGGAGAAAGAAGAAGCTTTTACCTTTCAGAAATTCGCTCTTTAAGGGTCCTAACTCCTAAGAGACTGAGAGAATGAAGAATGAATTGATGAAGTGACAAAGATGAACTGATGAAGTGCTGAAGATGAAAGAAGAAGTTTTTGATTTTCTTCGGTTTCGCAAGAGGCAGATCTAAACAAGAAAATTAGGGTTAATGAATCAATTACGTTTATATAGTGTAGCTGTAAAATCTCGGTTTAGGATAAACCAATCGGCTCCGAGTACCAAACCCAAACAAACCGACATCCAAATCCTCTGAAAAACTTAGCCGATCGGTTCAATCTCTTCTGATTTCTCGGTGCCGATAACCGAAACATTCGGTTCTCTCGGGTCGGTTTGTTCGGGTTTCACCGTATGCCCAACGCTAGCTCAAAAGCAATTGGTTTAAGAAGCAAAAAGAAGAGATAAGAAGATAAGAATCTTTTTTTATTCGATTTAAAAAAGAACATATTTGAGTAGATCAAAGAAATTAAAACATTAAAATATTCGAGTTTCTTACATTTATGAGAATAAAATTAGAGAGAGTGTCAAGTCTAGTGAAAAAATTCCAGTTTATGAGTTGTATCTATGAATGACGGTGAAAGAGGCTATTACGAAGAGGAATATGATGAAAGTCATGAGATCACAGATTGAGAGTAAATACATTGCTGGTTATATATGGAGATAGTCTTCGAAGAAAAAACCAGTTGTGGTGTTAATGGAGGTGTGTGTGTGCTGGGCAAGAGAGATAGGAAAAGAAGTGGGAGGAAGACAAAAGTACTTAGAGCATGAACATTGGTAGGACAGAAAAAATAGTTTTTTTTTTTTTTGCTTTTTTATATTAAAAAAAACAGATAACCAATCGCGGGTCGCCACGTGTCAGTTGGGCATAGGAATAGTGAAACATAAGGCAAAGGACGGTACCGTTTGGAGGTACGTCCCTCTTTGCAAATTTTATTTTTGATTTTTGATTATTTTTTTTTGGTGGGGGACTGGGCAAGGACTGCCCATGCCCATGCCCTTAGGTGAAGAGAAAACTTTAATATAGTGATTATGTTAAGAGAATAATAATAATAATAAAATAAGAAAGAAAAGTGGTCAAACACAACATCTCTTCTCACTTGGGTTTTATTTAATTGAAAAATTGAGGTGGAAAGTTTCTCTTGAAGAAATTGAATTGAAAAAGTAGTGTATTTTCACATAAAGCAAAGCTATCGAGTGAGGATTGAGCGAGTGTAATTTTTTTTCTACTTGAATTTATATTTACAAACTAAAAAAAAAGAAATGTTGAAGCAAGTTTCATTATAGTGATCAGCATATGATAGAAAGATAGAGAGTATGGTACCAATGAACTGTCGAGTAAGGATGGTTTTTTATAAACATGCACAAGAAAAAGATTGAGGGTTTGTAGTACCTATTACTATGTCCTATTCTTGATGTGTTTTATATTATTTTCCTATTATTAATGTGCGTTTGATTATTGTCTCCTATTTATCAGTGAGTGATCGGAATTCAGCCATATGGGCGAGACTTATTTTATTTTTGAAAACTTCTTATTCTTACTCCAAAAATATCACTAGAATGATTATGTGCACTAAAATTTAGTTTAGAGGATTACATATTCATGGTTACGTAACTAAGACTTATGAGGAAAAATTAAAGACTAGCCTATAAATAGCAGCTAAAAATCATAATATATTGCTATTATAGTAAACAAAAAAAACATTTATTTCCATCACAAAAAGAGTGAACATAAATAATATATTTTGCTATGTATTTTTCTCAACTAAAAAATTATTACCATAAAAAAAAAACTAGTACATAAGTCTAAAACCACCTTCAATGGAGGTTCTAAAGAGGTTTTCTATATGGTGCGTAACTTAAAAAAATAAAATCAAAACTCTTATTTATGCTAAGAATCTATGCTTATACTAGAGGTTTAAGAACACTTAAGGATACATAACGTGTTGGATGTGAAGTGTTTTTTTTTTATGTTGTTTTTTGTTTTCTCTCTTATTCTTCTCCCCGATTCTCTTTGTAGTCGTTGAGATTCTCTAAGCTCATTTATCCATCAACCCATCTTTGTCTTCAGCGCATTCCCTAGCATTAATTTGATTTAGCCTCCATTTTGTAAGTACATGTATTAGGCAATGACTTTGTTGTAATTAAATTTGTTTATGATCCTTACACATTAACCATTAACACAAGAAGAGGATTTCTACTAACACAAGAAGATGTTCTCTAGATTTCTAAACATTTAAATAACAAAAAATTATTAAAATCATGAGAAATGAGATAATGCTCTCAAAAGAGAAATTTTGAGAATATATTTAAAAACTCTTATACAACTGGTTAGAATTTTTATTTTAATCAAAATCTAAATAATTATATTATATAAAAATTAATACAACCATTTCTATAAGAAACTCAAAAGAAAAACTTTATTTATTTATAAGTTGGTGAAGGTTTATAATTTTTGACGCTAGAGATGCTCTTCCACTCCAAAGAATTGGTATAACAACAAAACTAAAATTTACATACAGTTAAATTACCAAACTAAATTTTACATACAGTTAAATGACGTTGAGCATCTCTCAACGGAAAAACTTTATTTATTTATAAGTTGGTGAAGGTTTATAATTTTTTTTATATTTTTTTATATTTGTAATTAATATTAAAAGATTATTATATAATTTATTTTGATTACCGTTTGTTTTGGTATGAAAAAAAATAAAACTAACACAAAGTAATCCAATTCGATATAAACTGATTTAGTTGGTTCAAGCCTAACTAAATAGTTTAAGTATATTTTTTCTTTTAGAGTGTCTAGTCATTAATTAAAGCTCTAAATAATATTAATTGCATTTTTGGAAAAATGAGAATATTGACCCCCCCCAAAGCACCATTGAATGACTTGAAAACTATAATTAGAAACACAAATCTAATTAGGTTTAGAAGGTTTTTTATAGAAAAATACAAGAAAACTGTGTCAACCCTTATTATACCGGGTCAACCCAAATTTGACCCACAAAAACATTGTAGCTAAGGTGCCCGATCGGGCTAGTGGTCGGGCCTAAGCTCTGGTTTGTCTCTGGTTTGTTTTCAAAAACTGTGCTCGACTGGGTTTATAAATTGGTTTGAGTTTATGAAAAAGGTTTAGGGAAATAATTAAACAATTAGAAGAGATTATATGTCAGTTTTTGTTTACAAACGAGAATTAAGATTTAGATTTAATAATTAAACAGAATTATATATTAATTTGAGTTTATAAAGGAAAATGAAGGTTTATATTCTACAATTCAACGAAATTAGGTGTTGGAGTGGGTTTAATTAATTAATATTTTGTCTTGATGAATTTTTATAGTATATATTTTATTTATTTAATTTGATATGACATGAAATTATATGACTTGCTCATTTAAGAGAGGTAAATGAAATGTGTGAACTCAAATATCTTCTTTCTAAAATATGAGCATTTATAAAAAAAAGTTCTCTTCAAAATTATAAAATAATGTTATTAATATAATAGGAAAGTATCAATAGGTATACACAAATTATTGAGAAATTAGTTTTCTCTCCTACCCAATTTTTGTGTACTATTCAATATATTTCGAGATTTTTGCCCCAATTTCTCTCTCATCTCTAACTTTTGTCATAATTTTTTTTAAAAATTTTTCGCGTATTACCTTTACTATTTTTTTATATTTGTGGTTGTATGCGAGAATGAGGATATAATTTATGAAGCAGAAGAAGAAGATATGGTGGTGGAAAAATGAGATGTTCTTTGTGAAATCATTAAGAAAGAGAGTAAATTAAGAGAGAAAAAGTACTTGAATTTGAATTGAAACTTAAAGATTCATTACAAAATCCAAGGAAGAACCTTAAAACATAAAACATAGCATAACTCATGAATAATTAAGTTTAGGAGGTCTTTTATAGACAAATACAAGAAAACTGTGTCAAGCCGTATTAAACCGGGTCAATCCCAATTTGACCCAGAAAAATATTGTAGCTAAAGTGCCCGATCGGGCTAGTGGTCGGGCCGCCCTCGAAGTCTCTGGTTTTTCTCAGGTCTGTTTTCAATAACTTTGCCCGACTAGGTGCTCGACTGGGTGTATATACGTCCAGTAAAACAGCGATAACTCTTGAACCGCAGTTTGGATTGGCTTGAAACCACCACCGTTGGAAAGCTAATTCCATTTAATAAAACTTTGATGAAGGACTCTGAAGCTAAATCCGAAGTGAAAAACCTCGTCGATCTTTGAAGGACACGACCAAGTGCTAGCTTGACCCACCGGGTTGGACGCGACACTTCACCTCCTTGTTTCTCCTTTTCGTTTGTCCCTTCTTGCTTCTTTGATTCACTTGCTTCATTCTATTGTTCCTCCATCATTCACATTGCTAGAAATGCTCCAATTAAGCTCCGTTTTGACCTTAAAAGCTTCAAACTCCTTAATTGAACCTCCAAGTACCTACAAAGACTCAACCAATGCAAAATGCAATCTTAATTAAACACACTAAACATGATGAAAAATGCATGAAACTAACTAGAAACAATGCTTAAAAACCAATAAAAACAGTAGATATCATTAACCTTACAGGTAATTTCTACAAGATAAGTAGAGGTTTTGTTAGAGTTGAAGTTGACATGGTTTAATCTACGGGTTTCTAGTTCCTTTGTCTCTTGACTATATTAGATCAAGGCTTGATAACAACTATTATCGGAGTGTGGATGCATTAAGACATGATGTATCAGTTATGTTGGCCAATGCAGAGACTTTCTTTTGTCTAAACAAAAACGTAGCAGTCAAAATCCACATCTCTCTAAATGGTTCGACCACATGTTGTCTTCTTTGTAAGTTAACATCCTCATAGTCGTGCTTATGTATAATGTACGTGAATTGGGGTCTTTGGCTTTGTATGTGCAAGGCTTCTTTAGTCTGACTAGTAAGCACATCCAATGGCGGATGCAAAACAGAATTGTGCCTGGGGCACAAACACATATAAGTTAATCTTAAATTTGTATTATAAAAAAATGAAATTTTAATAACATTAAAGTATATTTTATATTTGAAAATTGAATAATGAGCAACCATTTTTCAAATTACTGTTACAATTAACTATAAAACATAAATACATATAGTACATTTAAATTTACTCATCTAACTATACCACACAGATTTAATATTTAAAAACATTAAATTACTTTAAGAAAAAGATACTTTATGGTTTAATGATTCTAATTTACTATTTTACTAACATTTTTTCACTTAAGATATATGTATACTATACAATAAAAATTAATTAAATTTCTTAAAGTTGAACTGGAAATAGAATAATAAAATAAGAACGGAAAGCAATTCATTTGATCTAAGAATATAAAAAATAAGAAAAATGCTAAATAACATGTAGAAGCAAGGGTTCGAACTCTGAACCAAAAGACAAAAGAGGTACTCATTAACCAACTGTGCTAACGAATCTATTTGACTAATATATACTCGTTAAATCTTAAGAAGGAGTATGGGGCACGTGCCCCACCTCCCAACAGTGTAGATCCGCCCCTGAGCACATCTTTCTTTATGTTCATTTTTTTGGTCTCTTGTGATGTATCCTTATGTTCTAAACTTAGAGCTATTTTTTTTTCACTTTTATTACATGGTTTCTAGATTTAGCTCAGATCATGGTTTGATACTTTATCATTCTCTGGACTCGGGCCTGAGGGGATGTAAGAGATTCGGTATAGAATCTCTAAAAGAAAAAAGATAATTTATCATGGATTGTTTTCTAATAAAATTGTTTTATGAGATTGTCACCACTATGGAGTTGTCCATGTTATTGCCACACTTAACTCGGTAGAGACTACAATATTGAGAAACCAATCCGAAACATGAGATATAGTACTCTCCATTCGTTGTCAACTGATTTTGAGTTGGAAATCTATAATCTAATAAAATGAAACCGTATACTCTCACCAATATATATGCTAAACTTGTGAAAGACGTAAATGCTACTTTATTTATGATATATAAATCTCTAAAATATTTGAAACTTAAATAAAAGGCTACTTATTGTATAGTAATTGTTTCTTGCCACCATCATGGAAATATGACACTGCCTCTTGATCCTTGAGAGACAAACGCACAATTAAGCTCAGGTTTTGTTTCATATTGATATTTTGAACATGATAATTAATAAAAATATTGCTCACTGATATATTGATTCTGATATAAACCAAGAAATGTTAATCAGTATATATATATGAATGGACCTCAAATTAAATGACACTAACAACCAACTACAATTTTATAGTAGTCCATCGCATTCTCATTATATACCACCCACTTTTTCCTTCTCTATATAAACACTTAAGTCTCCTTACTCTCTTCATAACCCATATCTCCTTTTGGAAACAAACACAAATCTCTTAATCAAAATGGCTGGTCTAATGAAGTTAGCATGCTTGGTCTTCGCCTGCATGATTGTAGCCGGTCCAATCACAGCAAACGCGGTTCTGACTTGCACCGCGGTTCGCGGAAATTTAAAAGGTTGCTTTGACTACTTGCTTAAAAATAAACCCCTTTCACTAGCTTGCTGCAGCGGCGTTAGAAACCTTATTGGCATTGCTCATACGACCGCAGACCGTAGACAAGCTTGTCGTTGCCTTCAAAATGCTGCTAGAAATAAAGGCCCTTCTCTCAAGACTAACCGAGCTGCTGCAATTCCTAGGCTATGTAGAGTCAAGATTCCACATAATATTCAAATCAGCAGAAGAACCAACTGCAACACGTTAGTCTCCCTCTTTATATATATGTAACCACAGGTTTTTTTTTTACTGTAAAGATTTTAACTGTAAAAACTCTATATTAGTATATTTATATTAGTATTTTTGCAAACTTTTAATGGCCGCATTAAAATATTTTACTGAAAAATTATATGCTGGAGATAAACATCGAATTTGGGTTGTTTTGATAAGAAAGCAATTGATTTACCACTGGAATACATCTATATATACTGTTACAAAAAACTACTATATTAGTATTATTATGTAAACAGGTCGTATATATATATATATATATTTGAAAACAATTATTACAATTTTTTTGTTAAAACGGGTTAATATTGTTATGCGAAATACATATGAAAACAATTATTACAATTTTTTTTGTTTTAAAAATAACATTTATATACGGATTGTATGACGTGATGAATTTGAATATTATTAAAATATTAAATTAACATTAATCTTATACTTCAAAACCGCTAAAATTTTGTTATACTATTTTTTAACAACACCAATATAAGACATGTCGAATCAACTTTATTTAGTTAAGTTTATGCAATCTTAATATTTCTTAAACAAATTTCAGCATAATTGGAAAATTTTGAATTCAAAAATAAAAAATAAAAGGTTTGCTTCGCTTTACACCGCGAGTTAAAATCTAGTTTAGTAATAAAAAAGAAGTATATGAGTAATTTTTATATTTTTGGTTTTGGAATTTTGGAAACCTATATCAACGTAGTTATGTTTTATTTTATGTGGTTGCAGCCTGACGTGAGCGACAGTTCGATGAAGCTGGACATTTCGATTCCACCAAAGATCAGATAAATGAATTATTGATTTAAAGAAGCTCCTCACAAAAACAAAACTGTATGATTGGTGGGTTTGATATATGTGATATGTCTATTGGTGGGTTTATTGCTAGGTCTGGCTGCATGAACATGTTTTAAATACCACTGCATATATACATTATAACCGCTATTACTCGACAAATTAATACTTTGATGAATTAGTATTTTTTTTTTATCGCAAATTAGTTAAGCTCCATATATATATATATATATATATAAATTCCTAACTCTTTATATTAATAAAATATGTATTATAGTCTTAACATTATCAATTAAAAAAGGTTTTGATGTATATTGACATTAGAAGAAATTAAAAACACAAACGAAAGCTTAAATAATATTTTCATGCATCCAGGCCCAGCCTAGATAGGTAGGTTAGAAGGGCAACGGCACAAGGGCCCGTGAAGCAAAAAGAAATTTTTAAGGAAAAATAGAGTCCAATTTTGTTTTTGTTATATATTTTTTTAGTGTTAAAGGGCCCAAACATTTTTTTTTCCTATGTACAGTGGCCCGTTTTAAATAGAAAAAATTAAAATAAAAAACCCAATATTTTAAGATTTTATGTTAGTAAGGAAAAAGAAAAACAAAATCATATTTATAGAGTCCAAAATTTTTTTTTGCCTTAGGACCCTAATTTTTTTGGGCCGGGGATGCATCCATTCAGTTTAGTAAGACTAAGTACACATACATGTATATATACATAAATTTGTGAACCATATGAATATTACATGAAGTAATTGGACGTATCAGGAAATGAGTAGTAATTATCTCTAGTTACATACTAGTATACTACAAGAAAACAATCGATTTGCGACACATTAACGAGGAATTCGCTAGAAACACTGAATCTTTAGCAAATCAACAGCACCACAAATCCATACGATGTTGAGAAATGTATAGATTAAAAATTTAAGAGTATTCGCTGATTCAAATAATATGTGTTATTTTAAATAAAAACATATGAAAATTGACAATTTTAAATCAATTTATAGCTCAAAAGGGATGGGAAGAATGCCAAGGACAGCAAATGGTGGCACCTAATAATTATATAATTATAACTATGTGTAGGGTTCAATTCTCTCGACATGTCATGCCAAGCAAAATGCATACTCAAACCCCACAACATGTCTTGGATTCATACATTGATTGTCTTAACGACATATGAATTAATAACATATTAATTTCTAGAGTTAATAATTTATCTGTATAAAAATTGAGATATTTAACTAATTTAGAACTAAAAATTATACTCCATCAGTTTTAGAATAAATGATCTTTTAAGCAAATGCATATAGATTAAGAAATCATTTAAGTTTGGTTTATTTCTAAAGAAAAACATCATTTAATACCAACTTAAATACAATTCAACCAATGAAAAAAAATCTGCAGAATATAAATTGATAAAAATAATAAAAAAATATTTAATTTGCATATATTTGTGAGAAAATCATCTAATTTTGAAAAAATAGCCAAAATATCATCTATTATAGAACGAAGGGAGTTTTAATTTGCTAAGGTATTAATTTACGGGAAAAATGTTATAAAAATCCCAAACTTTCAAATTTGGGATGATTTAATCATGAACTTTGAAGAAGTCATTTTAATCATATAGTTTCTATTGACTTTTCCGTAAAATAGTTAAGTTTCGTTGACCTCGCCGATTTAAGCACAACGTTTGATCTCTCTTTAAATTTTGAAGATGGTGTTAACTATTTGTGACCTGCTTCCATTTAGCTAAACGACCATGGTTTTTTAAACAAAGAAACGACGCCAGAAGACACTTTATTCCTCCACGAGTCCACACCATAGCAACATTTTGACGAGAGGTAGAGAGAATTTGTGGATTTTTTGAGGGTTAGCGATTTAGATTTGTGAATTTGTGAATCGATTTTGGGATTTAGTTTCTTCAGTTGGTTAAACGATGTCGTTTTCTAAAATATTTCATGAACAGTTAACCCCGTCTTTGAGATATAAACATAAATTACAAATATCATGCTCAAATCGGCGAGGTCAAAAAAACTTAGTTATTTTACAGAAAAGTCAACATAAACTGTGTAATTAAAATGAGTTTTTCAAAGTTCAGGATTAAATCATCCCAAATTTGAAAGTTCGGGATTTTTATGACATTTTTCCCATTAATTTACTAAGTAACTTGGGCAAAGTTTTCATCAACTTAGACGCATTAATTAGCTCTTGAGAGATAACGTTCGAGCCAAAGCGAGAAAGAGTGGTAAGAGTTAAAGGATGGTACCATCGTATGTGGTTTAGAAAAACTTTAAATCATTTGTCGAACATGTGTATCAGACATGAATTTGGATCACTGATCAATCCAATCATCCAAATAAGTCAACAAAGACGATTTTTCAGAAAGAACAAAAAAACAAGATACATTAATTTTGATAATACCTATCGTTGAAATGTCATGTACTCTTTTTTCTTGGGTTTAAATTGTGGTTGAGAAGTCAGATGGTGAGATTGGAAAGTACTTCTAATCAATGCGTTTAAGTTGGTTGATGAACATTTTGCCCAAGTTACTTAGTCAAGTTGAGAGGTTTAGCTTTTATTGTGTATATAAAGAGATGAGTATGAAACCATATATTATCATCACAACTTCCATTTTCTTTCCTTTTGCACTATTGATATTCAAGAAAGTAAAATACTTAGAAAGATGAAAGACTCTCGAAACTTAACCATTTTCACTATTCCTAGTACTCTTTCTTTTCTCTTATATTTCCTTTTTAATGTCTCTGAAGTGTTTGCGGCTCCTACCAAACACTTGTGTCGTTCTGATCAAAGGGATGCAATTCTCGAGTTCAAGAATGAGTTCCAGAGTATGGATCAAGTGTCTTATTTTGACAGCTATCCTCCCAAGACGGATTCATGGGAGAAGGACAGCGACTGTTGTTATTGGGACGGTATCACATGCGATGAAAAGTCCGGGGATATAATCGAGGTAGACCTTAGTTTCAGCTCTCTTAGTGGCCAGCTTAGTTCCAAAAGTAGTCTTTTTAGGCTTCAACACCTTCATTTTGTAACCAAGATTAACCTTTCAAATAATGATTTTGTTGGTCCAATCCCATCTTCACTTGGAAACTTTTCTAGTCTCACCACTCTTGACGTTTCTAGAAATCATTTCAGTGGTAAGATTCCTTCTTGGATTGGAAACCTTTCTCATCTCACCTCTCTTGACTTTTCTCATAATAGTTTAGTTGGTGAAATCCCATCTTCACTTGCATATCTTTCAAATCTCACTTCTATCAACCTCTCTTATAACGATTTCGATGGTAAGCTTCCTTCTTCGATTGAAAACCTTTCTAGTCTCGCCATTTTTCGACTCTCTCGTAACAATTTTTTTGGTGAACTCCCACCTTCAATTGGTAATCTTTTGCATCTCACTAATCTTAGTCTCGATCGTAACAATTTCTCTGGTAAAATCTCATCTTCACTTGGAAATCTTTCGCATCTCACCTCTATTGACTTCCATAATAACAATTTTGATGGTGAAATACCATTTTCATTTGGAAATCTTTCACATCTCACCTCTCTTGTCCTCTCTGTCAACAATTTTGTTGGTGCAATCCCATCTTCTTTAGGTAGTCTGAATAAGTTGTCCATATTAAATGTTAAATCAAATAAGCTTAGTGGTAGCCTTCCCGATGCACTAGTAAATATGAAAAAATTGTCAAAATTATCTCTTTCCAATAATCAGCTCATAGGTACCATTCCTTCTTCTTTCTTCACTATTCCTTCTTTAGATACTATTACTTTAGATAATAACCAACTAAACGGTACTCTTGAGTTTGGGAATATATCTTCATCATCTAAGCTAATAGTGTTACGCCTTGGCAATAACCACTTCATAGGACCAATCTCGAAATCTCTCTCCAAATTAGCTAGACTTAAGGAACTTGACCTTTCCAATTTAAACACCCAAGTGTCAGTTGACTTTAGCTTTCTCTTGCATCTCAAGTCGCTTCGAAAACTTTATCTACCCAATCTGAACACCACTAGTACGATTAACTTAAACGTTATCTTATCAAAGTTAAAGTCACTAGAAACATTAGATCTTTCAGGAAACCATGTTTTAGTCACAAACAAGAGTTCAGATTCATATGGTCCATGGTTAAGTGAGATATACTTGTCCGGATGCAGTATCACCGAGTTCCCAAAGATCTTAAGAACCCAAGACCAAATGACGACATTAGACGTTTCCAACAACAAAATCAAAGGTCAAGTACCTGGCTGGTTATGGTCACTAGCAAATCTTCAGTACGTGAATCTTTCCAACAACACTTTCATCGGTTTCGGAAGATCAACGAATCTTGGACTATCCTCAGTCCCGGAGTCATATATGAAGCAATTGTTTGGCTCGAACAACAGTTTCACGGGAAAGATTCCGTCTTTCATATGTGAGTTGTCCTATCTAACCACTCTTGATTTGGCTAACAACAAACTCAGTGGCTCAATTCCACATTGTATGGGAAACATTCAAGTTCTAAATCTTCGACATAATCGTCTTAGTGGAGTTATTCCAGAGGATGTATTTGACAGTCTAATTTTGCTTGACGTCGGCCATAATCAACTAGAAGGAAAGCTTCCAAGATCTTTGGTTCGTGTCTCCTTTCTTGAAGTTCTTAATGTGGAAAGCAACAGAATCAATGATACATTTCCTTCTTGGCTAAGTTCTCTGCAAGAGCTACACATTCTAGTCCTTCGCTCCAATGCATTCCATGGTCCAATACAACAAATTAAGTTTGCTACGCTGCGAATCATCGACATATCCGATAACCAATTCAATGGAACATTGCCCCCGAGCTTCTTTGTCAATTTGCTTGCAATGTTCTCACTAGCAAAAAATGAAGATCAATCTACCAGAGAGACCACACTAATGTCTCACAAAAACTACATGAGTACAGACCACTATTATTTTTATTCAATGGTTTTGATGAATAAAGGTATAGAGATGCAGCTGGAGCGTGTCCTTAATATCTTCACAGCAATCGACTTTTCGAGAAATAAATTTGAAGGAGAGATTCCAAGGTCCATTGGTTTGTTAAAAGAGCTTTATGTGCTCAACTTGTCAAACAATGCTTTCAGTGGCCACATCCCATCATCAATGGCGAACATGATAAAGCTGGAATCACTTGACGTTTCCCAAAACAATATTTCCGGAGAAATTCCACAGGAGCTAGGGAACCTCTCAAACCTTGCGCGCATGAACTTCTCTCATAACCGGCTTGTAGGTCTGGTACCAGGGGGCACTCAGTTTCTAACACAAAATTGCTCCTCTTTCGAGGACAACCTCGGACTATTTGGCCCTTCACTTGAGAAAGTTTGTCTCGAGAAAACATCGCAAGAATCCAAAATGACCGAACCAAAAGAAGAAGAAGAAGTTATAAATTGGAAAGCAGCTGCAATTGGATCCATACCTGGCATTGTCTTTGGATTGACGATGGGATACATACTGGTTTCTTACAAACCAGAGTGGCTCATGAACCCTTTTGGTCAAAATAAAAGCAAAAGCATAAGCTCAACTCATTAAAAAGGTAATATGGAAGAACTAAGACAATAGTATCATAACATTTCTAGATGTATGAATAAATGAAACTAACATATCTATTGTTCTTTGTTTGTATAGCTTTCTTGAACCTAAGCTGAAGAATCATTGGAAGAAAATAAAAGGAACCAAACCAGACGTAATGGAGAAAGAAGAAAACAAGAAATCTACTTAAAATTTTAGTTGTTGCTTCTTGTTAAGCTTCGTGTGTTTCTCATTCGCTATGATCTTTCTTCTTTCTTCATAGTTTACTTCTTCTCCTATTCATTCATATGAACGATATTACGTACCAAGAGGATGCATCGGCATACGAATATGGATAAGTGGATTATAAGTTTTTTTTAAAAGATTTTGGAGAACTAGAGTGGAAATAAGTATATGAAAAAATTATATTTGATAACTTGATCACTGAATCTAAATACAACCTGATATTGGGTATGATGAAGGATTGAACTTGACCAAAAATAGAAACTCTATGAAAAAGTTTTTAGGTTGATTAATCTAGGTTACCCAAACCTTCGTTTTTAGGGTTACCCTAAACTAAAAATAGAAAGCAAACTGATTAATCTAGGTTACCTAACTAAATATATATTAATCTTTTTCATTTTCCCTATCTTTTCTTTATTTGACACAATCGTTGCCTTTAGGCTTTAATATCCCACATACAACAGTTTAATTTCCTACAATTTCTTAAATTTTTCATCAAAATTTTGTAGGAGGAAATTTCAATTATAGACTATAGTTCTTTTGTGAAATATCGTATGATTTCGTGATGTTTTCTTGTTGTTGTGATATGGAGGTCCAAGTTCAAGCTAGTGTGTTTCCTTCTCTAGCTCTTAGAAAATTCATATTTTAAACCTTTTATTCTCACGTTAGATAAAATTTTTGAAGTAGTGTTGTAGTTTTCTTTAATTATAAAAAAAAAGAACAAAAAATAAAAACTAAAGGCGGATTTTAATGATTGATCCAAAATGAAATAAAACCAAATGAATCACCACGGAACTCGAAGTTAGTATTGTAAGCTATTGGGTCTTTAAAGTCACATTGGAGACCCAAAAGCCAAAAGGATTTGGGTGAGTTAAACGATAATATGGTTAGTGTGTGTACTCGCAGATTTTTTTTCTAACAAACCTATTCACAGATCCTCTTTGAGATTCTATAAATCGTTCTTATTCTTTTTTTTTTCTCTTTCTTTTGTCATTATCACACAAAACCATGATTAAATATAAAACAATGTTACCTGAGAATTGTGTAATGCAACGTAAGAGAAAGGAAAAACCAATGCCTGGTGTCTTGCATAAATCCGAAAAACAATAGATGGAAAAGTTAAATAAGTCACAGTAAATTTATTTGTAATTTTAGCTACACATGTTAAGGGAAATTTACCGTATAAACGAAACTGCAATTTTCTTGTAAGAGATTAGAGATAAACTGATGAATGATGAAAAATGATTATTGTGAAACGTATGAAAAGCTTTTTAATTCTACGATTTTTGGAAAATAAGAAGACAACGTCGCTCTAATTTCTTTTTTAGTTACTAATTAAATAGGTTAGTTTTTTTTGGACCTTTTATCTTAAACAATTTTTTTAATAATAGACCTTTTTGTTCAAGAATTTGTTTTTCACAATCTATCGACATCAGTTTTTTAGAATGGAACCTTATTTTGTATTTTTTTTTTTTTTTTTCAGATTTTACAAAAGAAAATTATGGGCCTTTTGATTTATGAACCATAGACAAATGCCTAATCTGCCAATGGACGTAAGATGGGGCTGTGTGTGTGGGCATAAAAGCTTAAGATATCTTTCTACGAGATTGGTATTGTGTTTGACATGTATTGGATCACTAGTCATCTTCATAAGTAAACAAAGGACGTAGTCAGTAGCCACCGAAATCAACTAGCAAATAATTTTTTAGAAAAAATTCAAATTAATATTGTCATATCATGTCTCGTGTAATGCCACGAGAAACTCTGAAAAGTCTTCAACGAAAATAAAATTGCTTTTGGAATGCCTTATTAATCAGTCAACCATAGTTTTTTTTTTATATTTATTATGTCTATAAAGATATGAGAATGAAACCATGTTATCATCACAATTTCCATTTTCTTGATTTTTCATTTTGGAACTCAAGAAAGTACAAAGAATACTTCAAAAAAAGATGAAAGGCTGCTCTTGGAACTCAATAAGTCGTTTCATTCTTGTTACTCTCTTTTTCGTCTTCTTTTTCACTTCTAATCATATAAACGTGTTTGCAGCACACTTGTGTCATCCGGAACAAAGAGAAGCACTGCTCGAGTTCAAGAACGAGTTTAAGATTCAAAACTCTTGTGATGAAGGGACTCTAAAGACGGATTCGTGGGTCAATAACGTCGATTGTTGTTCTTGGGATGGTATTAGATGTGATACCAAGTTTGGGGATGTGATCGATCTCAACCTTAGCTATAGCTGCCTCCAAGGTCAGCTCAATTCCAAAAGTAATATTTTTAGGCTTCAAAACATTCGTTTTCTAGACCTTTCAAATAATCAATTCAGTGGTCAAATCCTATCTTCACTTGGAAACTTTTCAAATCTCACCACTCTCGACCTTTCTCAAAATCATTTCACTGGTCAAATCCCATCTTCACTTGGAAGTCTTTTTCACCTCACCTATCTTGCCCTCAATCAAAACAGTTTTGTTAGTGGTGGCATCCCAACTTCACTTGGAAATCTTACTCATCTCACCGTTCTTGGCCTATGTGGAAACAATCTTGTTGGTGAAATCCCATCTTCACTTGGAAATCTTTCTCATCTCACCGATCTTGCTCTTTGTGAAAACAATCTTGTTGGTGAAATCCCATCCTCATTTAAAAATCTTTTGCATCTTACCTTTCTCGATCTTTCACAAAATAGTTTGGTTGGTGAATTCCCATTTTTTTTTGGCAGTTTTAACCACTTGGTTGACTTAGCTATAGAATTCAACGATTTTAGTGGTAACTTTCCCGTTACACTACTAAACCTAACAAAGCTGTCAAGTTTATCACTCGACAGCAACAAGTTCACTGGTACACTTCCTCCTAACATGAGCTCACTTTCAAAATTAGTGTTCTTTTACGCAAGGGGAAATGCTTTTACTGGAACTATCCCTTCTTCTCTCCTAAACATTCCTTCTTTGAATTATATTGACTTGAGTTATAACAAACTCAATCGAATTCTTGAGTTTGGGAATATAACTACATCACTATTTGACTTACGCCTTGGCAATAACAACTTCAAAGGGCCAATCCCCAAATCCATTTTCAAATTAGTCAACCTTTGGAGACTTGATCTTTCCCATTTCAACACCCAAGGCTCAGTTGACTTTAGCATCTTCTCGCATCTCAAGTCACTGGTAGATCTTGACCTATCCCATTTGAACACCACCACTACATTTGACTTGAATGTAATATTATCAAGTTTCAAGTCACTAGATACATTGTATCTCTCAGGCAACAAGGTTTCAGCCACAAACACAAGTTCAGTTTCAGATCCTCCATTATTAGGGGATTTTAACTTGTCAGGATGTGGTCTCACCAATTTCCCAGAGTTCCTGAAAACTCAACACACAATGAGGAGTTTAGACATTTCCAACAACAAAATAGATGGTCAAGTTCCGGGCTGGTTATGGACGCTGCCAAATCTGTATAATGTGTATATTTCCAACAACACTTTTATTGGTTTCCAAAGACCAATAAAACCAAGATTGTCTTCAACCTTGAGGTACTTTTTTGGCGCCAACAACAACTTCTCTGGAAAGATTCCATCTTTCATATGTGCGTTGGGCTCTCTAACCGTTCTGGATTTGTCTAACAACAAATTCAATGGTTCAATCCCTCGTTGCATGGGATATTTTAGTAGTACTCTTGAAGTTATAAATCTTAGAAATAATCGTCTTTGTGGAGGTCTTCCGGTGAATATATCTGCAAGTGTAAAGTCGCTTGACGTCGGCCATAACCAACTGGTGGGAAAGCTTCCAAGAAATTTGGTCCGTAACTCTTCTCTTGAAGTTCTCAATGTGGAAAGTAACAAAATCAGTGATGTGTTTCCTTCCTGGTTAAGTTCTCTACAAGACCTACAAGTTCTTGTTCTTCGTTCCAATGCATTCCATGGACCGATACAACATACCGGGTTTTCTAAACTGCGAATCATCGACATATCCAATAATCACTTCAGTGGAACTTTGCCTTCAATATTTTTTGTCAACTGGACTGCAATGTTTTCACTTGGAAAAACTGAAGATCTGTCGAATGGAGGGTATATGGGTACATACTATTACAGTGATTCAATGGTTTTGATGAATAAAGGCCAAGAAATGGAAATGGTGCGTATCTTAAATATCTTTACATCGATCGACTTTTCCGGAAACAAATTTGAAGGAGAGATTCCAATGTCCATTGGTTTATTGAAGAGCTTCATGTACTTAACTTGTCAAACAATGCTTTCACTGGCCACATCCCATCAAGAATGGCAAACCTAAGAGAGCTCGAATCGCTGGATGTTTCTCTAAACAAGCTTTCAGGAGAAATTCCACAAGAGTTAGGGAAACTCTCATACCTTGCATACATGAACTTCTCCCATAACCAGCTTGTAGGTCTTGTACCAGGAGGTACTCAGTTTCAAACACAGCCTTGCTCCTCTTTCGCGGACAACCCGGGACTTTTTCGCCCTTCACTTGAGAAAATTTGTGTAGATATCCACAAGAAAACATCACAACAATCAGAAATGCCAAATCCAAGAGAAGATGAAGAAGAGATTATAAGTTGGACAGCAGCTGCAATTGGATTCATACCTGGCATTTCCTTTGGATTGATGTTGGGATACATATTGGTTTCTTACAGACCAGAGTGGTTCATGAACCCTTTTGGCCGAAAGAAACGCAGAAGCACAAGCACCACAACTCACTAGAGCCAGTGAGGTAATGTTCTGAATTTATAAAAGCTTATATATATAATAATAACATAGTCTGAATTTATAAAAGACTATATATTAACGTATCAACATTTCTTTTGTTAATAGGTGAAGAATATAGAAGAACAGAATCAAGCAACCTAACCAAATAGACTACATATAGAAAGAAGTTCATAAATAAAATTCAGTTATATCGAATTACAGTTTTGCTTTGTTTTGTTTTGTATTGGTTTATATTTATATACATGTGTTTCTTATTCACTATGTTATCTATTTGTCTCTTTAAACAACCATGGTGTCGGTACAATATACTAGTAAAAGAATTCC